TGAGCATTGTTTGTCCCGCGTCTCGTTCATTTGTTGTTTGCGTTGTGTGCGCCCTGTTTTCTGGGAACAACACAACTCTTTACATAGCATTACATTGTATTAGATATTATGCGTAATCTAGAGGTGATTTGAAGTACCTGGGAGGATGAGCATAGGTTATATGCAAATACTATGCCGTATTACATAAGGGACTTGAGCATCCGCAGATTTTTGTAGCAGTATGTGTGACGATAATAGAGATCTGACTATCAGCACTCTGCTGTGTCTGTCCTAAAAGCAACTCGAGCCAACAAACAGGTTTCCGAAGATAGTAGGTGCTCAAGCTGCAGGTGCATCGGTCACATCGGCCGCTGTGGTCTGAGCGATTTAAATGTCAGGTAAAGGTTCTGGAGCACAGCGTTTAATGCAGGTTTCTACCTCCTTCATGCCTCAGTGAATTGGAGGTTTTTCTTCTAATGAATGGGGCGATTCTCCGCTACACCATTACCGCTTGTAATGACAACATTTCAAGGTTTGAAGGTAGAGATACATTTATTTTAGCAGGTAATATCAAATGCTCAGAATAAAGAGGAACTGGAAATCTGGTAGTTCAAACGTAACATCTGAACATGCCTGACTAAGCAACAGCCACATGCACCAGGAGTCTGGTGAACACTGCTAAAGTCATTTGCGTTAGTTGAACAATTTAGAGGAAATTTTCCCCTCAAACCCCCCACCACCCATGTCTCTGCCAAGACCTGACCACAGGAATTCAGAGTGGAGGAGCTGCATGGGCTACTTTGAAAAATGATCCAAGCAGAACCCAGAACCCTCTTTCTCAAGGGCAACCGAAGGCAGGCACCAGTGCCCAGCCACCTCGTTTGACCTTGGCTGAGCCAACACTGACACACTTAAAGGAACAGAAGTCTCATTAACATTCTGTCATCTCTGACTGCGGTGAGCAAGTGCTGTCCATACCAGTCTCTTCCTAAAGGAGGAAAACAGTAATGGTATATATGTTTCCAACCACAGCAAAGAGATGGCAGGATATTTCTGTTAAAAAGCTGGACAAGAGGGATAACAAAAGATGCTTTTACTACGTCCCAAATCGGACCCGAACCCAAACCCTGAGTAGACCAATTTTAACCCACTGGGCCTCACTCCTACCAGCATCTCCAACTCACACGCACTCCATCAAAGTTATTTTCCTGCTGATACGACCACGCTGGGAAAGAGCAGCAGTGTGACATTCTGGGCTGCATTCAGGCGGCAGCAGTGAGACAGAACTGGGACGAAAGTGCATCCACACAGATGGCAGCCAAGAGCTGGGACAGACAGCGGCAGGAGAGCAGGAGAGGATTCCAGAGGTTATCACACATCTAACAGGACAGGGACTGACACGCGCATCCATGTAGATGGTGGCCATGAAGCACACGCATGAAGCACGTGTCGTTGCGGATGGGAGCAGAGGAGCAGGACGGCGGTGTGCAGGCATCTGGAAGAGCCTCTGGAATTTCAGCGTGTTACTTCTCATGTTTCCACTAAAGCAGTTCAATGAAGGAGTGCAGTTAAGACTGCAACTCAGGGCTTAGGCGTGATCACATGACTGAATGTACTGAAACAAACACTTTATCTTTCTCAGTATCATTATTACTCATTTGGGGGGCATAGTGCCGCAGTGGTTAGCGCTGGACCAGGGTTTGAGCCAGGGCTCCGTGTGTGTGCAGTTTGCAAGTTGTCATAGTGGGATTTCCTCCAGGTACTCTGGTTCCCCCCCCGTCCAAAAACATGCTGAGGTTAACTGGTGTTACCAGATTGCCTATAGCTGATGTGTTATACAATGGGTTGGTGGCCCATCCTTGCCCCCATAGGCTTAAGACCCCGCATGACCAGTGGTGGAATGTAACAAAGTATTTGTACTTCGTTACTGTACTTAAATACATTTTTTACGTATCTGTACTTTACTTAAGTAAAAATAATAATGCATACTTTTTATTACATTTTGCGGCAACTATCTGTACTTTCTACTCCACTACATTTCTACAATTTATGCCGTTAGTCGTTACATTTCATGAACACAATTTCCTCAAAATCTTGCAAGAAAAAATAGTTAGCCTATTGCGTTCTGGCGTTGTTTGCCATTTCCTACCAATCAGGTGGCTTTATTAGCTCCAATGATGGCAGAGCGCGCTTCAATTAGCAGCACGAGCTGGTAGACTGGCTTGATTTCAAGAAGACGAGACATTCGACATGGACCCATTCAACATGGTTTATCTTAATGGTATATTAGTGGGTGATACCTAGTAGATAACTTGTCATCCACATAATTCTAAGTTAGGGTACACACAGTATTGCGGAGTGCACGCACAATAAGCACACCAAACTTTCCAATACACATATACTGTATAGTTCCTTGTAATTATTACGAGCAATGACATCGGTAGAGACATAAGTCAGTATATCTACTATTCTTTTACAAAATGGCACACCCGAGACGTCGACACAAACCATTGTGTGAGTACTTTTACTTAAAAAAAATACTTTAAAGTAAATTTAAAAGTAAGTACTTAGTACTTTCACTTAAGTAAGATTGTTGATGTAGCACTTCTACTTTTATTTGAGTACATACTTTGCAGGGTATTTGTACTTTTACTTAAGTACTAAGCTTCAGTACTTCCTCCACCACTGCCCCTGACCACAAATAGGACAGTTACAGAAGATGGATGGATGGATGGATGGATAGATTTCTCATGTGCTTCATGGTAGTATCATTGTATCTACTGGAAGCAAGAACTGAAGTTAAGCAGTTCAATTGTAATTAAAATGTAACAATTTTTGATAATATATAAGGCAGCAAGCAAAACAATCTGACTCGTTAAAAGCCTGATGGACCCTAATTGCTTGCTCAGTTCTGAAAGAAGAGCAACAGAACAAGTTTAGGCTTCAGCTTCTTGCTGCAAACCTAAAAAGTGAATCTTGGCTGTTTTCTTGCTTGCTAAGAGGAAGCTTACACTGGATCGATAGCCACATAGGAACAGACAAGGATGATCCTTCAAAACTCCCCAAAGTCTAGGAGACCCGCAGTAATCAAGGAATTTCTGGAGTAGAAGGTAAATAGTACGAATCACAGACATGTTTTTCAACCATATAAACAAAATACAATAAAACCACCTTCTGTTTCACGATGCCGCAGGAAGCTATTTGCAACCATTTCACAACAAGTAAAATATTCTGTTTCAGATCTGAACAGTTTTAAATCTAATTTTCTCATCAAGAACAAAAAGTGCATCTGGGCAATGGCTGCACAGGCCATGTAAAGAATAATCTGATACTTAGCTAGTTATTGAATGAGTTCAAGTCTCTCTCAAAGACGCGGTGACGGACCATGACGAGAGACGGGCGAGGAAGTTTTTGTCTAATTATGTCAAGTGGGAAAGGCGGATCATTGACTAGGTAATGAATATTGTATGCCATTAATAACAAAAAGTACAACAAACAAGTTAACAAATATATGAATGCACAAAAATCTCAGGTTTACCTAGAAAGTATTTTACAGAAATCACAGAACTGCATTTTATCGAAGACAATTTTGTCAGGAGCATTAAATTGTACATAACAACTTAGAAAATGCAGCTGTTAGTCATATTTCTTGTTACAGGGGAAAGTAAAAATAGCATCAGTGTCAGTACAGATCAGGAAACGGTTAAAGAAAAATGATAGATGCAGACGCGGTACTGGAGAGAGCAATGCTACCCCGAAGCAGAATTGATACCTGCCGCATATCATGATGCAGTTTTCCGCTGCATTTTCACACAAATGTTCAATCAGTAAAGAAGAAGCAATGCCACTAGTACCACACATTTCCTTAGATCACTTCTGACAACATTCCGTAAATTAATGCCAGCGACACAAAGGTAACTTGACTGTCTGCTGCCACTTAAGATCAGTATTTTAGGTACTTTTATTACTTTTGGTCCGCGTGGAACCAGCACAGGACGAAGTGTTTTGATTATTCATAGTAGATAACATTTGTGTACAGTCCCGGCATTATCAAATGCCAACAGTTCAGATCGTATCAGACAGAGGAACGTGTTAGAACAAATTTCCCATCAGATAGGCTACATGTGTTGATTTTAGAAGGGCACGTGCTACTTTAATCTTGAGTAGTGGTAACAATGTAATTACTAAATGAAAATATCACCAACCATAAAATGTTACGGTTTAAGCTGCACTACGTCATTAGTCTAGCCAGGCAGAGAGCGGAGGAGTTAATGAATTCAGAAAAGTTGGCGACTTTCCTGTGTTTACAAACAAGCCGTAAAGTCTATCTCCGCGTCTGAAGACGGACGTAGTTTCAAATGCGCTACTGTGTGAAAAACCTTCACCCGACGGGATTTACGGTGTAAAAAAACACATTTAGCCCAAACCGGCGCTCATTTTCGGAAACAAAAGAAGCAGAGGGAGGGGGCGGTGGGCAGTTTATCAGCCGCTCATTACAGCGGAAAGAACGAAGGAAAGAAAAAAAACACTTTTCATCATAAAAAAATGGTATACCAGTACTGTGTTACTGCCGATGTACTATCCATGGCTTGTGCCACTCAAGTTAATATCATTGTAATTACTTCAAGAAAGTTAATTTCACTTAGTAGCTATGAAGCCTACTTGATTTTGTGTCTGGTAGATCGTCTGCTTATATTTACAATATAAAACTTACATTTTCAGAGATGGCTGCAACAGAAAATAATGTGGAAAAGTAAAACTAATACCTTTGAATTACTCTATGTCATCGCATGGAAATGTTTAGCTTTTAAAGACCCATAACTTGTAGTTTAAAGATCAAAGATTATATTTATTTAAATCTATGTACACGTTCAATAATTGCTACCAGGCAAAAAAAAAAAAAAAACATTGTGTTTTTAGAAACAAAAATCAGTAAAACGCCCAAGCAAGGTTTATTGAGCCTACAAAGCACTTCCTATCTAACAAAGTCGAGATTCAGGATGATCTCCTCCAATACTTACCAAAACTAAAGCGAACCTCTCCTCGAGCTCCGTAGGGTCCGGCATGGGAACTTTTAACGGCATTATATGAGGTTTAATTTCTGAGTGACCGTCCACACTCTCGATATTCCCCATTTTCACGAAAATATATATCCTTTGTGGGGAAAAAATACAGTTTTCTCTCTGACTCAGTGTCCCCGTGTGATTTAAAATTCCCCCAACAAATACACTACTGCGTAATTCCGATCCGAGGTGATTTCCTCTCCATCCATGTGTTCATCTCTAAGTTAGAAAAAGTAGCTGCATCGGCCCCATATTGTTTTAGAGATAAAGTATGTTATCCTCACAAAAATCGAGTAATGCCTTAATCACATTAAACTCTTAACAGAAAAATCAGAACTTTACCGCCAAAGTAAAAAAGTACATTATATTTTTCCCTGGTTGTTTTCACTAGATTTGCAATCTGTAGAAACTGATCCTTGGTGGGATGAAATCATTTTGTCCGACCGCACACCCACTCCAGCGATGGACTTTCTTGGCTCTTCTGCGTTTCCATTCATTATTGTTATACGACCGTCATTATGTGAACTGGGCGCCTTTGTTCCGCCCTCTATTTAGTACAAAGGCATCTTATTGCAGAAGCTGCGTGTCCATCAATCCCTTTGCCGAACCCTCAAGGCAATCCTGCCATCTGCTGGTCAAAGTGTCTCACCGTTCACCTCACCGTTATTGGTGATTACTGTATTATAATCAAGGAACTATAGTTGCGTTATAATAACAGTAACATTATATTTTCAAATAACTACCTTAACTACTCATTCATCATTCTTCTAATCCTGACCCTCCCATATAGTGGTTATACCACTATACTAAGGGCAATCAAGAGACACCAAGAAAAGGAAACTCGGAGTAGCTGCATGGAGAGAACATGCAAACTCCACACTAACAGAACAGCAAGTGGGATTCAAACCTACGACTCTAGAGGTGTGAGGCTATTGTGCTAAACACTGTCCCTGCACCTATGAATTTGCCACAATCTTGTTGCCCCTGAACCTATGAGGGGCACATATCAGTTTAAGGAAGCACTTTCAAACCATTCAGTAATTTTTTGATGTAAAATATGATCCATGAACTCTGGCCCTCATCTCCTCTCAACAAAACACACAGTAAGGCATTTATGAAGGGCAACACAGCATTTATTATAAGTTGTCTGTAAAAATGTGTCCTCGTAAGCTGAACACATACTGATTCCACCAGGTCTGACATCCTCTCCATACAGATTCATATTCAGCACGCGACACTTTTCCAAGCTCCAGGCAGGCTGTAGTGTCTGTTGGATCACTCAGAGAAACTGACCACTAGGGGCAGTACAGCTGCCTAGTCTGTTGGATAGTTTCACTCAGAGAAACTGACCACTAGGGGCAGTACAGCCTGGGAATTAGGACCATTCACAGTGCATTCTTGGTTAATCAGACTTCACAGTGATTCAAAGTGACATACATACTGTGTCATAACAGTGTTATATGCTTTTGCAGACATCCTTAGAATTGCATTTCTGCATTCATCAGAACATGGGAAACAACACACTGCAACACTTTAAAATGCTTTAAAATAAAGTTCATTAAAACATTCATGGTGGAACACATCACAGATTCTCTCTTATGCATATATATCTAAGATTATCTTTATAAAAATACTGATGAGCCATACAACAAGTAAGAAAAAAAAATGCAGGAAGGTATAACTCTGGTATGATACACATCCACTCACAGACCCAAAGTCACATGAGCACCAGCTCCTTCCTAAATAGCACTGGATGCTAAAGCATAATAATGACAGAGGTAAAGAAGGCCAAGACAGACAGAAACAGGAAACCATCAGCATGCTTATGTTTCAGCCACATTTTTTGAAGAGTATCAATTTCCAGGGACCCCGCAGTCCGGAAAAAGGGTAGGAAAATTACAGAAATAAACAGGTTATCAGAATCAGAATCAGAATCAGAAAAACTTTATTTATCCCGGAGGAAATTGCTCAGTTTCAAACTGCGCACCAAGCAAGTAGAGGCTGTAACACTATGACATCTGCCAGCCCATCTCTCTGTCCCCGCGCGCGCCGCATACTCTCTAGCATTCTTAATCACTGCATTAATTTCCGCATTATTGCGGTGTATGGGTTATAAAAAAAGTATAAGGTACTGTATTATTACGGTATTTAATGTTGGTATTGTTTTACTGAGCATAATTTATCAATTAAACTTTACCATATGTATATACATGAAAATCATGTTATACAAGGGTTACGTGGATGTTTCACTTGGGAGGGGGGGGGGGTTTCTGTCCTGTTTTATACTGAAGAGAGTGGCTTGTTAAACACTGCATTAAAATGGCACCAGAGAAACAATGTTTTGGGTATCAGCATGAAGGTCACAATATCACTCTCAAATAGATAAAATATATATTTTTTATGTGAAGGCCTTATTATCAAGGATGATGAAGTTCTCATAGTCATAGTTTGAAATTAAACGTATTGTAACAAGCTTTAAGTTATTAAAATATTCTTATTTCATAAAGCATTTTCAGAAGAGCTGAGTCATGTAGATCAGCATTTACATATCTATATACCACATTATATATAAAGACTACCGACATAGGATTTAAAAAAAATATCTTTTGTGGTCCAACAAATTTAGAGTAAATAACCTAAAACAATAAAATGGTATTTTAAATCAGGCAAAAGAACTGAATGGAAATAGATTAAAAGTTTCATTGGCATCAAGTCATAACTGGAACATATAAAAGTGACGTTAGTTTGGCACTTCCGTCAGATTGTACCTGGAGGGGAAGAACAGGAAAACTTAATGTTACAGCCTGAAATAATGACTAAGTATGAATATCAACGTATGAAAGCAGCTTTTAAAAATGAAAATGTTATGCCATATCAGGGTGATGGTCACTGGCAGACACTGGCCTCTTAGTCTAAATAATTAAAACACACACACACACACACACACACACACACACACACACAAGTCATCCGAACATACTTGATTTTTCTTACCATTGTGTGACTCCAGACTTGAGGTCAATCTGAGCCAAATCTATCTGAACCTGAGAGAAAACAAATTGGAAGATTCAAACTCGGCTGTGAAGATGGACAGGAGAAGGAGCAGAAAGGTCAACTCAAAAGGTGACTGACCCTGCCCATGACCTCTCTCTCGCGACTCATGAAGGTCATGCTGTTCTTCACCTCCAGGTCCAGCCTCCTGCTCTTGGCCTCTTCCAACGAGAGCTCAAAATCAAACCTGCGATTGCGAGCGGACGGGAGAGGAAGAAGTTCATGAGACACTGAATAGATTTTAGGACAGAGCAAGCGGTGCAGAGGAAAATTCCAGAACATTCATGGACGATAAAACTTTCTAAATCGGACCCCGGCTGGACCTAGCTGGACCCCGGCCTACTCGACAGACCTCTCATTAAATTCAGGATTGGTGTCTCGTTTCTTGATGCTGGTCTTCCTCTTCGTCGTCTTGCTCTTGTCAGGCAGCAGGATGAAGGACACACAGGAGTCTGGAGCCTCTTTGCTGCTGGATGGAAGGTGCCTGTGCGAGCCAGGGAGAGAGAAGCGGCTTGATATGGCCTTTCTGAAGACTTCATGAAGGGTGCCTCTCAGTCTGGCAGACGCACCTGCAGGCGTGAACAACCACCAGCAGCCTCTTCTCCTCCACAGAGTAACGGAGTGTGAGCTTCACCTGGCCTCCTTCCAGCTCAGCAGCTCTGGACAGACACACGGTCATAGTTGTGGTCAGCACGTGTCCATCAGCCTGCCGTTAAGCGTCCCATCAGAGACGACCCCCACCCACCTCTGGCCAGGTGTCACCCGCTGCCTCAACTCCGGAATGGTAGCTGCAGACATTTCCTTGCTAGAAATAACAGGCTTTCCATCTCCCTGTGAACCACCATCTTCAGCCTGCATCCAGCTGCAATCCACTGCTGTAGAACCCAAGATCTGTTCAGCAGTAAACAAGTGTAACCTTGATAAGCTCCAGCATACTCATCCATCCATCAGTCCATCCATCCATTTATACTAACTAGGGTCACACACAAGGTCCACTTTTACATACACTATTACTCTCTACAGGTAATTCTGACATTAGGCGTTTGGGCTAAGTGATTATCTTTGGGTTCAGGATCTGAACACCAGCCGGACAGGCGTGGGACCCACCAAGCCATCATGGCACCTGCATGGAAGCTGACTGAACCATGTTGCTGTTTAAGAGCTTCAGGGTTGTGACTTGAAAACACACCAAACCCTGACCTCTTTCAGTGCTACAGGAGGATTAAAAAGTAAATGACAGTCTTCAAGCTGGTACCTTATGTCTCTCATCTCTCCTGTAGCAGCATCATGTATCAGGATTATGAAACATAATCCTTCCCAGAAGAGCCAGGTTTACACAATGAAATGCTACTGCTCATAACTTTAATACTATCCTTTCCCTGTTCCTAAATTGTGAATAACTGGCATATTTCTTGGTTCCTTTTATTACCATGTCAAAACACTATTGATGGTTATTTAATTAACACTCTTATCCAAAGCATTGTACAAGTCGGTTTCAGAGATCAAGGTCAAACAATTAACTGGAGCAATTATAGTTAAGGGTCTGGCTCAAGGGGCCGATGGAGGCATCAATGTGGCAGCCATGGGATTAGAACCATGAACTCATCCATAGCACTAAATCAGGGGCGTCAAACTCCAGTCCTGGGGGCCCAGAACCCTGTGTAGCTTAGTTCTTTCCCTGTTCCACCACAAATGATTCAACTCAAACTGTGTGGTAAATAGCACAAGGTGTTGAATCAGGTGTGTTAAATGAGGGCCAACCAAAAACTGTGCAGGGCTCCGGCCCCCCAGGACCGGAGTTTGAGACCCCTGCGCTAAACCATCACCATGTTGATGTGGGAATGATACCTTGAGTGTGGCCCTCAGCAGAACCTGGCTCGCAGGAAGGGCTCCATCTAAAGGCAGCCAGCGGTCGAGCTCCAGGCCCGGCTCTGAGAGCAGCTCCCTCACAGGCAAAACGAGAGAACCCAGAGCCAGACCCCAGGCATGAGAGAGCTGGAGAAACACAAGCGTTACGAAGGAAACGACACAATTACAACTCCGGCCTCCGTTTAATATGGGAATCAGTTGTAAGGTATGAGATATATAACAAATTATAGATTGGTTTCTGTCACCTTTATTATGAGAGTATCCTCTCTGGGGTCATGAACCAGGAAGTGGAAGGCTTCCTCCCACCGAGGAGAAACGGCACGATCACAGACCTGAGAACGATGAACAGGTAAACAGCACAATCACTCCGAAATCACACTATTAAAAGTGAAAACCTGTAATCACTGACTCAAGGTTTCATAGCTATAACAAGGATCCAGTGTTTTAGCGGCACAGGTACGGCGGGGTCATTTCACCTTGGTCCTGTAGGAGGCGCCCTTGAGACAGAGCTCCGCTCCCACCTTCGGCTCCTTCCCGCTCTTCTTCAGCTGGTAGCAAACAGTGTGGATAATGGACAAGATCTGTTGCTGAGATCCATCACCGAACTGCGCTGGAGAGTCGCCTCCATGACCTCATTTTACCATTGACACCCAATGCAGACCGTACCACACACACTACCAAACTGGTAATACCATGTCACAATAGACAGCATGAGGAATCGGTCACTTTCAGTACTGCATGAATGAATGGCCTCCATTCTTCCGTATATCACAACGGCAAAGCCGCAGGAATATCTTGTACCTGAGCAGATTCCCCTCAGACTATCCTCTTATTCCACCGCAGAACCAATGATGCACACACAGGTAACACACAGGTAACACACAGGTAACACACAGGTAACACACAGGTAACACACAGTTGCACATGCACATACTCACAGGCAAGCTGTGCGCAGACTCCAGGTAGATGAACAGCAAGGCAGCAGATGGTACCGCTCTGTTCTGATAGGAGTGCTGGGTCTGGTAACTCAGAACCTGAGTACAAGGAAGGTTCACGTTATCACACAAGCACGCCGACAGCATGGAAATGAAGTGTGTGAGATGGACCTCTCTGATATGCTGACCTGGTCCAGACAGCCTGCGTCTGACAGCCTGGGGAGCCACTCCAGCACCAGGTGGATACGGCCGGACTTCACGTCACTCAGGCTGAACCACTGACAACAACAGACAGCACAGGCTGAACCACTGACAACGATAGACAGCACAGGCTAAACCACTGACGACGATAGACAGCACAGGCTAAACCACTGACAAATGTGATAATAGGCAAAATATATCCAGGAGAAAGTCACCTGATCAATGTAATGTGAGCTGATGACATCACTCAGACTGATCTTGAGCCTGTAAAGTCACAATAAAAATACATGAAGCACACGCCAGTGGAGATGATTCAGCCATGATGATTCAGAGCTGACCTGCCCAGGAAGTCGTCGCGATCCAGGTCTTTGTCAAACACCTCGAACTGTACATCCTGACCGGGTAGCTGTGTGAGGACGACCTGTGAAACAAGCATCAACCATCACATATAAACGAAACCCCTGAACAAACACTTAATAATAAACCAAACAATGGAAAAGCTGGGGCACCTCATAAAGCTCATTCCAGGTGGGGTTCAGGTTCTCCGGCACCACTCGGCTTTGGAAAGTGCTGCCACCGACACGAGTCTTGACGTACGGGTCACTCTTCCCCTTGATCATGCCCCCCATGAAGCAGTCCTTGGCGATCAGGTCCTGTGCTTCCACCAGATGGATCCTCAGCACGCCCTGAAGGATCACACGTGAATCCTACCACACCTTTTCAAAGGTCAGGGAGTCAAGATTCCACATACTGTGCAGGACCTGGTAACCGTTGACTATCGACAAGCAGCATCAGAAATTAAACGGGGGCCAAGGGCAAAAATTCCCCAACATCTCAGAATGCCCCTAAAAACCACGATCAAAGGGCAAAAACTGCCCCCAAGATTAAGAAGAAACACATGATCTGTTAAGCCATCATTTAATTTTTATATTGATTTAATTTCATTTCCATTTCCGTCTCTAACACGCTTACAAACAGCATTGTTGTTCACACTACGCACGTACAGTACATAGGGGTGTGGCAATGGGCTATCTGCTTACCAATGGAATCTCTACCCACCCATCAACAGCGGTTACAGTCGCCTAGGGCTGGGCAATATATTGAATTTTCATGGTACATTGATATATTTCCAAAACGAGATATAGGATGACTAAATACCTTTTTGTTGTGTATTAAAACTAATAGTATTCCTTCCTGCTTGTAAAAAGGGTAGTTGGTGGAAACTAAAAATAATTGGTACTTGTGTCAGTTCATTTTTAAACTTTGCAGAACAGCTCAAAGGTTTAAAATATCGTAATTTGCAGCATTTGTTTTATTTTGAAGGGACCTGTTTGCATTTGCTGCTGTAAAACACTGCCTTTCATTTTCATATCATTTTTAATAGACCAACAGTTTCTAACTGTTTAGAAAGACGGAAACTAGTTGATTTAAAAGGCTGTGATGAAGTTTTCACTATATCTATAAAGTAATGCATTATAGACATACAAAGACTATTAAGACCTAAATAAAAGCCTAAATAGTTATATAATAACTGTCTCCTGCTTTCTCTGATATTCTGTACACATACAGACGACTGCAAACTTCTCTTTGGAACAGCAATAGAATGTTCTACATTTATAACCCTGCAGCACCATGCTGCAATTCCTGCATGCATTTTAATCTGGGCACATTTCACATTACAAACAGAAACTTGCATTAATTACTATTTTTAAAAAGTCCCCCCAAAAATGTGTAAATGCCCCCATTTTTTTTATTTCCTGTACTGATGACATGGTTTAATTAGTGCTGGGCAGTATTGCTGGTTTTAATTTCCCATACAATATGAACTTTGGATATACCACCATACCTCGTACCATGGCATAGCTGAAACGGCATCTGTAGCATTACAATAGGAAGTAAATTAAATACTGTAATACTGTTTACTACTAGAAGTACTATGGATTCCTCCAGGACCCTAACGAGGGCAGGAAGAACGTGACTGAGCTCCCTGGACACAGACTGTTTAAAGTATTACCCTCCAGCAAGAGACTGAGGTCTGTTATGACCAAGACAACACAGCACAACAGCAGCTTCAGCCACCCCCCTGACCCCCAAAGACATAGATCCTGCCTCTATCCCTCCTCCACTGACTCAGCTTGCAGATCCATTTCATCTGTATATTCTACTGGAGATCATACATTTTCATATTTCAGTAGTCAATATATCTCCTTTCCCTTTATATTTATTGATAGTAATAATACAGCTGTTTGCACTTCATTATATCATCATATTTGTACTTACTCTATGTTTCTTAACTTATGCACTATGGTGCCTATGGATGTATGCACCAATACTGCCAGAACAAATTCCTAGAACATGCAGCTGCCCCTGGCCAATAAAGCGGAACCTGATTCTGTGTGTATTGGGGGGGCGGGTCCTGGTAACTCCTCTACCCTCCTTACTAACACCTTTTTAAAAACATTCAGAAAATTATTCATTTATGTAAACCCTTGCTGCCGTGGTAAAGTGAACCTGGGAAAAAACAAATAAAATGATATACAATGAAACTACCAGAATGTTTTAAAATACCACGATACAAATTTTTGGTGATACCTCCCAGCACTATGTTCAATACTGAAAAATATGACTGACTGGCAGACTGAAGATCCACAACTGCACCAGCTGAATTCCCTACTAACCAAACAGAGGCTATTTGTGAATTAGGTGTTAATTTAGTGTGAAACGTATCTGATATTAATATGCAGCTTTACCAGAATGATAGTGAGAAACAAGCATGCACAATTATTACATTATCTAGCAGACGCTTCTAACCAAAGCGACATGGTTTTTTTTAGGATGTAGGGTCAAACATTCCCAAGAACAACTGGGGGTTAAGTGCCATGGTGAAATTGGTGAAATCACTCTATCCACCATGGGATTTGAACCAGAAACCTTCCAAAAACATGCATACTCACCTCAGTAGCAAAGCTGGAGTCAGGTGATGACTTCAGGGGTCGCGATTGGACACCTACGTCTGTCACTGCACCCCCATCATGCAAACCTTTGTCATCGGTTACAGCAGAGTCCAGCGTGCTGGGAGAGGCATTCTCATTGGGCAGCAGTACCTGCAACACAAGGAGGGGATTGCGCTGCATTTTTAAACTGCATGACTGCACATAGCAAGTAAACATGCATGGACAGTCAAGCACTAATAAGTCCAAGATATAAGGGGCCAAAGAGAAGAGAAAGACACACAAAACGTGAAGAATAAAGGTGACATCTGAAGAGCATGATGCCCGTGGTCTCACCCTCAGCACGGCCTTGATGTAGATGCGACTGACTGGCCCAGAGCGGTCCAACTGGAACCACTGGTCCATGGTGAGTTCAGCGCTGGACAGCAGGCGAGACAGAGGAATAGAGAGAGTCCCAAGGGACACGGCCCTGTCATCGTCCTTTACCTGAGGGAGGGAGGGAGAGAGGGAGAGAATGAGGGAGGGAGAAAAGGGGAAGAGAGAAAGTGACAGAGGGACAGAGAGAGAAGAAGCGAGAATGAGATGGGTAGAGAGCGGTGGAGGTAGGGGGGAAGAGAGAACAAGAGAGAGATAGAGAGAGGAGAAGAGAAAACGAGAGAGAGAGAGGAGAAGAGTGAACGAGAGAGGGAGACGAAAAGGAGTGGGGAAGTAAGCAATTTACGTATGGAAATGGAGGGTGTGAGCAGGTTAGGGTGGGATGTCAGGTAAATGGAGAGTGTGGGGGGGAAATGGAGGGATGAAATATAGTGGCCGTTTATCAGGGGTAATTTGAATGTTACAATGGTGCCAAAAGAGGAAAAGCATTACAGCACCTGAATGTCTATGTCCTGCTTGCGGGGATCCTGGATAAAGAAGCTGAAGGCCTCCTGCCACTGGGGGTTATTCGTTCCGTAACATGCCTGAGGATTAGATTTAGCACATTCTTACTTATCAGATTCTTACCCGTTTATATGCTTGATTTTGTAAGAAAGCATCAACTGAAGTTATTTTGAGAAATGGATAGGCTCCAGATAAGGTACATTTAACAGGGCAGCCAATAAAACAGCACCATCCAGGCTCCATTCAAGAGGGCAGCCAATAAAACAGCACCATCCAGCCTCCATTCAAGAGGGCAGCCAATAAAACAGCACCATCCAGCCTCCATTCAAGAGGGCAGCCAATAAAACAGCACCATCCAGCCTTCCTCTTAGAAGCCTCATTCCTCAAACCTAAACCTCAAAATCTGTATGGTAAACACAGCTACAACAGCCAGTTTGATGCTACTGACTAATAGACGGAGCATTGTTTGCACGGTGAAGAAAACATTAACAAGAAATCAAAAGGCATGTGAACAAGCTGAGGTTAATTGCGAATGGGACTATGGGATGGATCTCTCACCCGGCTCTCCTTGGTGGTGTCCTGCACTGACACTTGCACCATGGGATTAGGCTCCTTGTTGCCTTTCTTCATCTGTAACGGCAGGCATCAATCACATCCCTACAAAGAACATGATCTACCCACACATCAGCATCATCTTGTCCACAAAGGGCCAGTGTGTATGCAGGTCTTTGAGATAACCTTTCGATCAGCTGTTCAAACCCAGGTGTGGGGACTCTTCAGCCAATCAGTCCTCTAATTAGAACCAATAATGACACTGTGTGAGGCAGTCTATACCAACAGGAAGTAGCTGATACAGGAAGTGAAAGTGACTCACTGGCAGTTCCTGAGCACGGTCCAAATACACTGTCAAGATGGCTGCAGAAGGAGGGTCTGTGGTCTTATTTAACAATGATATATTTCTATTTCTCTGTAGAACCTGTCAAACGAACAACCATATCATAAAAATCACAAGTAAAAAAAAAAGGACAATTAGGTACTCTGTAATTGCTCTAGATTAAAACACCTCCTAAATGAACATCTTTAGAAGTGTCTATGCATGCAAGCGAACCTGCTCCAGATGGTCAGCATTAGCCTGCAGAGACAGCCACTCTAGTTTTAAATGGACGCGACCAGAAGCAGTGTCCTTCAAAGTGAACCACTGCGGAGAAGAGAACACATGGTTACATGGGGAAGAGACATCTATAGCAAAGTAGTGCAGATCGGCCATCAGACGTTACCTCGTCCACAAGCTGAGCTTTCTTCACCAAACCCAGATCTAACTTGAACCTGAAAATCAGATGAGAAACATTTCCTGTATGAAAAGCAAGCTTATTCCTATACATGCCCTGGAGAATATGAAAGTACAGCGATCTGCGTGATGGGTGCAACTGCCAATATGGACAAAAACGAGTCATGGTACCTCCCCATGAAGTCATCCTGGTCTGGATCTTTGTCAAATACCTCTACCTCCAGCTCCTGACCAGGCACTTCATGGACAATCACCTGACACACAGATAAATGGCACATGCAATAAAAATGCATAAAAATGCATCATTATGTAGCCTGAGGCAGGAGAATTCCTGGAATGAAGGTGAAAAATGGGAGACGGTACAACAGGCTGAACCTGACATTTACATGTTTACCTGAAAATTTTATACAAAGCCGCTGTAACAGTGATATTGTGGTCTGTCACTAAGTTTTAATCGTATTGTAGACTGTCATTAAGAGTCCGCACTAATCATATTACAGTCTGTTACTAAGTCTCTCACTAATCATATTATAGTCTGTAACTAACAGTCAGTCACTAACAGTCCCTACTAATATTACGAACAGTCTGCACCAATCATATTAGTCTGCCACTCAGTCTAAACCACTCATATGACAGTCAGTCACTAACAGTCTAAGCCAATAATACTACAGCTTGCCACCAACAGTCTACATTAATCATATCACAGTCCGTCACTAACAGTCTACATTAATATCACAGTCTGCCACCAACAGTCTACACTAATTATATCATAGTCTGCCACTAACAGTCTACACTAATCATATCACAGTCTGCCACTAACAGTCTACACTAATATCACAGTCTGTCACTAACAGTCTACACTAATCATATCACAGTNCACTAACAGTCTACACTAATATCACAGTCTGTCACTAACAGTCTACACTAATCATATCACAGTATGTCACTAACAGTCTACACTAATAATTACTTCTCAGTAAGATGCTAAAACAAAAGTACCGCACAACCTCACCTCATACATCTCTCTCCACTGTGGGTTGAGGTTATTTTCCACATGGTGGGAGGTGAACACCTGGGGGCCCACCTTCACTATTACATAAGGGTCTGACTTGCCAGAAATGATCCCATAGTTATCCTTTGAGACGAGACTCTGAGCTTCCAGGAGAAAGATGCGCACGATGCCCTGAGGTGGACACAAAAACACGTTTGTCCATTTATCTCTTTAATACATGAACCATATCTTAGGCCTTTAACTTTCCGCTGTATTAAATGTTCCCATTACATCATTCTACTACTCAGTCATGATGCCGCTTCCTGTATATATAATTAAAAAAAGCACAAATCACACTACCCTTGGCAGTGGCGATTGCAGCTGTGCAATATGCAGATCAGCCACCAGGGGCACTGTGAGCCTATTAGGCAACACCAGGTACGAGGCGATGATGTCCATTATCTTGGTATCAGACATGGAGCTGTGAATTGCACAGAAATGCACAAAGACACAGGCGTATGATTTCAGCACCACCCATCCGCTGACAATATTGCAATCACCATCTAGAGATTCACGCACTAGACAGACAAAATATGCATAGTGTAAGATACCCTCAATGCATACAAGCCGCCATTTACTCTGAGAAACGCTGGAGGGGTTTGAGGCAACTCACTTCAGGCCAGGAATGTCCAGCAGGTTGGTCAGGCCTGTCCAATTTATATCCAGTGTCTGTGTGGGCAGTTATGTGCAACATGGGTGAGTGACTGAGAGACGCCAAGGTTGTGCGCAAAGCAGTTGGCGCCGAAATCACTACTCACAGGCCGGCGAATGAAGAAGAGTGTTATGGCGCCAACCAGTGGCACGTCTCCTATTAGCGGCTCCAGGATGACCCTCAGCTTCCCATGAAGCTGGGGAGAGGGGCGATTCAGAGGGTCAGGGCAAACATGTGGTCATAAACTCCACACTGAATACAGATCACATATTAATCATCTTTCACCTTCTCACCTGAATGCCCTTGACTCCAGCTTTACAGAAATACTTCTTCACCTCCACATTGATCTCAACGTCCCCTACATAGCTGTTCAAGGAGGAGGAGACGTTAACTGTGACCACGTGACTGACTGTGGTCACCATCATAGAATGTAACCATGTGACTCTGCATAGCTGCCTGTTTTTGCATGACATCTAACAGAAGACAACATCTAAAGACACATCACAAAACGGCAGACTGCGGGTGAGGAGGATACTTACCTGACATAGAGATCCAGTAACACTTGCCTCTTGTCCTGTTCTGTGTGAGCCTTCACGCCGATCACCCGCATGGGCTGTTCACACACACGCACACATACAACACACACAACACACAATGCAAACAGGCAAAGATGTTCACAAACACCATGCTTATGAGTGCATGTACATGCATACAGCTCAAAGCCAAGCTACAGTACCTGCACCCCCAGGTTGACCATGGTGAAGGACAGTGTCTGTAGGTGGCTGCTAGAAGCCCTGATGGAGGGAGCGATGGTTTCCATCAGCAGCTTTTCCACATACTGGCCCACAAAAGGCCAGGCTTGAAGCAGTATCTGTATAATGAGAAAATACATAATTTTACTTGACAGGGTAAAGGGAAACTCTTTAGGAGTTTATCGGGCAATGGGAAACCCTTTGGGGATTCATCGGGTAAAGGGAAACCCTCTGGGGTTCTATAGGGTAAAGGGAAACCCTCTGGGGTTCTATAGGGTAAAGGGAAACCCTTTGGGGATTTATCAGGTAAAGGGAAACCCTCTGGGGTTCTATAGGGTGAAGGGAAACCGTCTAGGGGTTCGCAGGGTACCCCAGGGAAAAGTTCTTACTTACTTATCGATGTGATCATGTATTAGTGGTGCCCAGTATTATACTATATGGACAAAAGTATTGGAACACCAGGCCATTACGCCCACAGGGACTTTTATGATATCCCATTCTAAATCCACAGTCATCAATATGCAGTTGGTCCAGTGCGCAAAACAAGGTCCATGATTGGGTGAGTCTCAGCCCCATCAAACATCTTTGGGACGAACTAGAATGAAGATTGCGAGTCAGACCTTCACGTCCAACATCAGTGCCTGGCCCCACAAATACTCTTCTAGATGAATGGGCAAAAATTCTCACAAATGCACTCCAAAATCTTGTGGAAAGCCCTCCCAGAAGAGTGGCAGCTGTTATGGCTGCATTAAGGGGACCAACTCCATACTGATACCTATGGATTTAGAATTCCAATGTCAAAAGACATGTAAGTGTATGTTTATGGACTGTGAGAAGAAACACGTAGCCAGAGGAAACGCAGAACTACTGGTGAGAATGAACTCCCCTAACATGCCTACAGTGCTAACCATTAAGCCACTTTGCTGTGACCGTGATTGGACGGTCACTGGTTTGAGACCCAATGCTGGCAGAGTGATGTCACTACTGGGTGCCTGAGCAAGGTCCTTAACCCCCCAACACTACTCCAGGGACAGGCAGCCCATGTTTTCTCAGAAAAATATGCATCTGATAGATAAATACAAGCAAGTATAAATAGGTGAAATAAACAAGTATAAATAGTTCATCATGAACTCTTTCCACATTCACCTTTGGCAAGGATAAAGTGAGGTTTACCCAAACAGCAACAATGAACTGAGGACGGATGTATTTGACTGCATACTGAATAATTCAGTGCTCACAGCCAGAATATATTCACAGGTTCAGATCAAAACAGGCCAAGCAGCCTCTTTGATCAGAATGAAAAAAAAAATGGCTACTGCGTTCAAAGAGAGCTTGGCTGAGGACGTTCAGAAATACCAACATTTATACGATTCCTCGCTATGGGATTATGAAGAATCCCAGAGGTGGAAAGCGCAGGTCCAGAAAGTACAGATCCAGACCAAGATTTTGTTTAAACCAACCACTTGAGCATAATGAGTCACAGTCACAGAATACCCAGCTGACTGGCTGTAATGAAACCACGGTCTGGATCTGGATTTTCTGGACTTGAAATTTCCACCTCTGATGACTCGCAAATAGATACAACGTGAAACACAATCTGTTTGTGACTGCAGCTCCATGTTCTTGTCCATGCATTTTTTTTTTATAGTTAAATTTGTTTTTTATTTAGTTTTTATATTATTTTCATTTGAAATTCAGTTTAGTTTTCAGTATGGTTTTATTAGTTTTTTTAACGAAGTATATCCATTTAGTTTGTAGGTATTTTAATTTTACCAATTTTATTTCTAGGGATAGATGGAAAGCTGCAACAAAATGCCGTGCTGTGGTGCACCGGCTATTTATAGTTTTTGTTTAGTAGTTTATTTTCATATCTTATTTCAGTTTAAGGACGTTTTCATTAACAATAACTGTCTTGCATACTGTAAGTACATAGTGCACAGCAGGGTTGGGACCATTCCAGAATGCATTGATCAATACCAGTCCGAATCAGGAAATGGAACTGGAGTTGGAACTTAAATCTCCCTGAAATTCAAATTCAACTCCAATTCTATTCCCTGTAGTTTTTTTTTCCAATCCCAACTCCAGTTCCGTTTCCTGATTTGGACTGGAATTGATCAATGCATTCCGGAATGGCCCCAACCCTGGTGCGCAGTTAGTATTAGTAATATTCAATATTTTCAGTATAGCTTCATTTGGGGGACATATCGTGGGGACCCCTCTAACGCCGGCCCACTTGACAAATTTTATCACGCAGATTTCAAAATATTGAAATAGCGTTACTTTTGAAAAACACTGCCAAAATACTGTACAGTGCAGTATAATGTCCATACAGTGTGACAGTAGGACAAATTAAGTACCATCCAGCTATTGCTGTCCTTGCAGTGCGATAACTGCATGTGCATAACATGCAACTTAAGTGAACTGTGTACAGGCTGTGATGGGCTGGCACTCTGTCCAGGGTTGGTTTAAACATCATGCCAACTGCAATTTATATTATATTATCCATCCACTTTCTGTAACCGCTTGTCCTATTCAGGGTTGTAGGGGGTCCGAAGCCTATCCCAGAGGCTATGGGTGCAAGGCAGGGAACAACCCAGGATGGGGTGCCAACCCATGACAGGGCACAGTCACACAGCAGTCACTCACACAGGCACACCTGCGGGAAATTTGGTGACTTAAATTACCCTCAGCATGTTTTTAGACTGTGTGGGGAAACCAGAGTACCTGGAGGAAACCCCACGATGATACAGGGAGAACATGCAAACTCCACACACATGGAGTCATGGCGGAGACTCGAACCCGGGTTCCATAGGTGCGAAGCAACAGTGCAAGCCACAGTGCCGCCCAAAATATTATATACAGCCATGGAAAAAATGAAGAGACCGCACTATATTATTAATCAAATCTGCATTTTTTTAAATCATGGTTTAATTGTGGTTCTGCTGGCAGAGGCTACGCTGAGCAGCAGGTTGCTTTCAGGTTCAAACTTTCTAAGACAGCAGCACATAAGAATAAGGTGAAGCAGGAGACACTGGGAACGACCAGAAACCAGCCAGGTAAAAAGGCGGAAGCGACATTCTAATGCCAGAGATGACCGTTAACTGATCCGACAGTTTCTCATGAATCGGAGGATGGCATCAAGTGACCTTCAAATGGAATGGGAAACATTAAGTGCAGGTGTGAGGTGCCCTGCTAGGACAGTTCATATCAGGCTCCTAGAAGCAGGACTGAAGTCCCATAAAGCAAGGAAGAAACAGGGAAGAATCAGACTGCAGTTTGCAGAAATATATATATTAATCACAACGCGCACCCAAAAACTGAGGAATGAGTGAAGCAAATAATCGTTCTGTGGCCTCTTAATATTTCCCGCGGCTGTATATTGTATCACATCACATATTATAAATGTTTAGCCAACCACCAAATTAATCAGTAGATCACTTGATTGTTAATATAATGAATAGTGACAGTGCTAATAAACTCAGGGCTCTAGTCTGTAGCTGAGGCCCAGTTTTATGAAGCCCCAGCAATACGATCATGGGACACAGAATCAGATAACTGCAGACTGGCCTTTCGCAAGATCTGCTCTGACAAAGACCCACATCCGGGAAAGTGAGCCTCCTCCACCCTTTACTTCATACTTGAGATATGACTTTGGAGCTTCCATGGTCACAGCTCAAAAACAAGCTTTCTGGGTGAAACGGTGTCTTTAAATAGGGACAGTCTGTCAGAGGGCACGTGTTGGATAAGCAGTATGGAGGGATGGAATGGATCTTTTCCAGCAGTGGCAGTCGAAGCCCATATCGCACCCCCAGCAAGCAGACTTCAACACCAGATTTCACGGTAAAAGTTGTCGACTGGACACCAAGTCGGCCCCCTTGGAAATTGCCCATCCGGCCCTTGTCAGAATCTGCGACTTCAAGCCTTCAGGCTTAGGCTAGGCTAGGTAAGGGTCTGGCTACATTAGGGCTCCATTTTTACCCAGCGGCATTTTATCAGGGCTAATGAAAAGGGAGGAGCTCTTCTGCCAGGCCCAGGAACACAGCTCACCAGCCTGCTGCCATAACTCCTATAACAGCTCGTGTGCGTGTGCATGTGTCTATGTGAACATATGAATCCATTAGTCCGTCTGACAAGTGTCTCGCGTGGCTGTGAGATCCATCCGTGTGACGAGCACAAACCTTGTTCAGCCACTCCACTTTCTCCACGTCCGGGTAACTGACCTACAAAATGTACAAACGACACAGTCAAGCAACAGGAAACTGCAACTAACAAACACTTAATCAGCTGAAAGATAAGTCAGGCATGGGAAACCACAGTCACACGGAGAAACCAGTGTGATATCCTATACCATCTTTTAAAAATAACACAAAAATAAGACTTACCCCTTTGTCATACTAAAAACTAAACTGTGAAACTGAAATACCCACTCCACAATTAGCTTAATGTTTATTGCTCTAGTTCTTAAAGCTATTTATCCCCAAAAAGCTGTTCATGAACAGAGCTGGTCTCTCAGGACCAGCAGATGACTCATACTTGTGCTCTTGTACTTGTGTCACACGACGCTGAGTCTCGGAATAACTCAATTAAACTGGAAGCATGAGGAATAGAACACGAAAAGTCACTCCACAAATGTAATATCGCCTGAAAATTCTCCCATGCACTCAATCTCTCTACTGCCTTAATCCTCATCTTTAATTCCTTTTGCATTCCTTTCCTTCTGTATTCATTACTACCCCGGCTGACTCCCCAGAGAGCCGACATTAAGGACTGCCTAATATAGCCAAGTCTGGCCAGTCTGAAGGATAAGTCAGGGAGGGAGCAGAAACACGAAAGGCAAAGGCTGGAAAACAGGCCACAGTAAACACTCAGCACAGAGAGAGATAGAGAACAAAGAGCAGGCCCAGAAATGCAGGAAGAGCAGCAGCAGTCAAAACCGTAAAGGGAAGAGCCCGTTTACAAGTGCCAAAGGCGTAAGGAAAGAGCCTGTTTGCGAGCATCAGGCCACAAAGCAGAAGCCCAGCAATGAAGGACTCAGGAGAGCAGACGAACACTTAGAGTCCCTTCTGGTCTGAGACTCACGTAAACGAAATTATGTATAATGCAGCCAGGTGCAGTATCATCTCCTAAAAGCACATTACATTCTCACACATTAAGCACAAGCAGCACAATTCATTTGGTGACATTCACATCGATACAGAAATATTGCACACTTTATCATTCTTCAATCCATATTTTTTCAATATAAGTATGTCCAGGAGTAACATAGGAGACCAGATGTGCTACTTCTTCAAACTCCTGGAGTGCTGCTGTGTGATCTGAGGGACACAGATGGCAATTCGAAGTTCACTGTCCGATTTGGAGCTGAAGAACTGGTGGTTAAGATCCAAACCACATATATGCCAAATATTCATTACACTATAATATATCACAACCAGGGTAATTTTGGAAAACGTTGCTGCAGACGTTGCATTAAACCTAACTGGGCTCTCCCTCACCCTCCCCTTTTCATCACTGATTCCCATACTGATTTTAGGAAGTCAAATTTATACATTCTAAAAAAATCCTGCATCCTTAATCCTTTCAATAAAACAGCCATCTGACACAACACTGCACTGAAATACATGACAACGCGGTGACAATAACATCTGTTGATTGAGTGAATTTTCCAATCGAATGATCCTGTGATGTCTTAAAAACACAAGGCTTTTCCATCAATAGACTGGAAAAAGTAACAACATAACAGCGTCCTTTGCTGGAAATATCGACTAAAAATCAAGATTTTTAAAAATATATCACACTGTCTTATTGCCCAAGTTGGTAAAGTAGTATATGCGGCAAGTGTTACTTAGCATCAGTGTTCTTCCAGGTAAGAAAGTGATGCTAATTTGATGATCATGATGTGAAGAAGAGCATTAAGCATGGTGTGCGCTGGCTTTCATTAATTCATCTATTTATGAACTTCGTCTTACCCATGCAGGCAGACTGCGTGTGTCCCTGAGCACCGTGGCAGCGATGAAATCCTGCTCCTTTTCCATCGCGTACATGGCGGACCGCAGTCTGCTCTCCTTCCCGTCCCGGCAATTTTGCCAGCCGATGTACAGCATGAGACCGAGCACGACCAGGAAAATGCTGAAGCCGAAGTACCCCGCCAGATACACCGGCAGCAGCGCGCCCAGGCATTTCCCGAAGGAACACAAGCCGGAGACGGCGTCTGCTCCCCGGCAGCCTTTCGCTGGCTGCACCGAGACGTGCGACGCATCATCCGCGCTCTGCATCGCAGCTACGTCCGACGAAACAAATCCCGGGCGAATCACACCCAGCAGTACACCCAGACCTCCAAAAAACGCCTAAGACGATTGCATATTTCATATATTTTAAAGCTGTGAAAGGGAGGCATATGTTGGGGAAGAAGTAAAAGCGGCTCAAACTACGTAAGTCCTGTAGTAAAGGCGGAAAAAGGCAGAACCAGCGAGACGGGCGGGCGGACATAACAAGGGGCGGGTTTCTGAAACTCTGCGTTCATCCCTGCAGCGAAAGCACCGTGCCTCCCCCCCCCTCCCATATCATAAATGTCAATAGTAATAATAATAACAGCATCCTCCAATAGCGCTCATTGCTGCAGCGAAAATACCCCGCACCCCGCTTCATAATATTAATAACAACAATAATAATATCCTCCATTAGCGTTCATCCTTGCACCGAACCCCCCGCCATACCCAATAATAATAATATCATCCTTCAATACGTGAAGCACTAACATAGCTAGTACAGAAATGGGTTTTGTGAAATGAACAGCACATGCTTTGTTGTTTGATCTAATGAGAAAGTACAGAATGGCGCTCCATTCGAATTCATTTATTTATCCGACACTTTAGCTAGAAGTGACTCAAAGGGCTAGGCAGAAAGTAAGATTGTACATCACAAGCATACAGCTGCCAAGGAACCAGCGTAGGGACAAGTGTAACCGGAGTTACACAAAAAAAAAAGTGACAAACTCTCTCGCCCGTCGAAAAAAATGTTTCAGCGGCCTCGGCTCCCCATTGGCCGGCGCCGCTGAAATGTTTCACAACTGTCCCGACCGATTGGCCGAGCCCGCGTCAGCGGCCCCGTGTGATCGGCCGGCGCGACGATGGCCCGCCTACCGCCCGGCGCGCTTATATGAATGAAGACCACGGCTGCAGCGACATTATCGTCGCATCTGCCATTCCTTTTGCTTCGCGTCCGGCGTCCTGCATAGCGCTAACAGGTAAGCCCGAGAAGCTGCTGCATTCGTACAGAAATCTCGCCCCATTATTATCCTTTTTTTTCGGGTGTTTAACCGATTGATTTCGTATCTTGCAGATCGTTAGTTTGATGTTGTCGATCCAATATGTCATATTGTATAAGAATGCTGTCGATTGCTTTAAAATATGCAGTCTGCGAAACAAACGCGCTGTGCAAAGGCGCACGACAGCGTATCCACCTCTCCGTCGATTAAATGTTTTGCAGAAAAGGTTAAGTAGTCAGCATCATTAGCCGTAGGTCATGTCAGTAACTGCTCTGAGTGCAATTTAAAGAAATAATTTGTACAGAAAAGTTATGTAGTCTTTGTTTTTAGTATTACTTCT